ATAGTAAATACTATATATGGAAATAGTAACTATTATATATGGAAATAGTTAATACTATATATGGAAATAGTAATTACCATGTATGAAAATAGTAAATACTATATATGGAAATAGTAACTACTATATATGGAAATAGTAACTATTATATATGGAAATAGTATACCATATATGAAAATAATAAATACTATATATGGAAATAGTAAATACTATATATGGAAATAGTAATTACCATCTAAGCAAATAGTAAATACCCTATATGGAAATAGTAAATATCATTTTTGGGAATAGTGAATTCCATATCTTGAAATTATAGAAAATACTATATATGGAAATATTAATTACCATATATGGAAATAGTAAATACTATATATGGAAATAGTAACTACTATATATGGAAATAGTAATTAACATATATGGAAATAGTAAATACTATATATGGAAATAGTAATTACCATGTGAGCAAATAGTAAATACCATATATGAAAATAGTAATACTATATATGGAAATAGTAATTACAATATATGGAAATAGTAACTACTATATATGGAAATATTAATTACCATATATGGAAATAGTAAATACTATACATGGAAATAGTAATTACCATATATGGAAATACTAACTACTATATATGGAAATAGTAATTACCATATATAAAAATAGTAACTACTATATATAAAAATAGTAAATACTATATATGGAAATAGTAAATATTATATATGGAAATAATAACTACTATATACAGAAATAGTAATTAACATATATGGAAATGTTAATTACCATATGTGGAAATAGTAACTACTATATATGGAAATATTAATTACCATTATATGGAAATAGTAACTACTATATATGGAAATAGTAATTAGCATATATGGAAATAGTAAATACTATATATGGAAATAATAATTACCATGTGAGCAAATAGTAAATACCATATATGAAAATAGTAAATACTATATATGGAAATAGTAATTACAATATATGGAAATAGTAACTACTATATATGGAAATATTAATTACCATATGTGGAAATAGTAAATACCATACATGGAAATAGTAATTACCATATATGGAAATACTAACTACTATATATGGAAATAGTAATTACCATATATAAAAATAGTAACTACTATATACGGAAATAGTAACTACTATATATGGAAATATTAATTACCATATATGAAAATAGTAATTACCATATATGAAAATAGTAAATACTATATATGAAAATAGTAAATACTATATATGAAATAGTAAATACTATATATGGAAATAGTAACTACTATATACGGAAATAGTAACTACTATATATGGAAATATTAATTACCATATATAAAAATAGTAACTACTATATACGGAAATAGTAACTACTATATATGGAAATATTAATTACCATATATGAAAATAGTAATTACCATATATGAAAATAGTAAATACTATATATGAAAATAGTAAATACTATATATGAAATAGTAAATACTATATATGGAAATAGTAAATACTATATATGGAAATAGTAACTGCTATCTACAGAAATAGTAACTACTATATATGGAAATATTAATTACCATATATGGAAATATTAATTACCATATATGGAAATGTTAATTACCATATGTGGAAATAGTAACTACTAT